TTTTAAGGTGTCCTGAAGTGAACTGCCTTCATTATAATACTAAAAAACACACCCACAGGTCAAGAAGACCCTTGCCCAGGTGAAGACCCTTCCCCCGCGCAAGCGTAGTAACAGAAAAGAATGACACAGCAGATATTATAATTATATGTAAATCATTAACCGATCATTGTAACTGGGAGTGTACTACCTTATAATTTTTGTGTATAAATGTAATGGTGATCTAGCCATAGGTGTGCTTGATTTGTGCAAATTCCACCTTGCACCCGGCGCAGTAATAAAGAATGCCTGCTTTCTAAAACTCCAAAATTGAGTCTTAGAGAGTTCTTCATCTGCCGATTTACGGTAACACCCGCACCCACCCAAGTGCCCCCCTCCCCAAGATACAAGGGGGTTTGCACACCTATATATTTAAAAGCGGCAGTGATATGTAGCTTAAAAAAAAAAAAGGCAGGAAAAAGTTTGATGCACGTACTTGACAGTGCTTGCATCCAGGTGATGTATCTGCCATTCTTTTATTACCCTATCCAAACAGATTCACATAGATAAATGCTGGAAAATTCTGCACAAGTGATCTGCTTTTTGTTTGTTTCTAATTTAATCAAATTACCTGAAATATTTCTATTTTTTTATGTTGTCAACTTGCAAGATGTTGCAAGAGCTGTAGGAAAAGATTGTGGGCACTGTTTCTTTTGCACTTATTTTAGAAGGAAACACAGAATAGTACTTGTGATTAAAAAAGCAATATGGTCTTAGCATGTCCTGGAAGTCAGAAGCTCCAGCATTCTGTTCTTGGCTCAGTTGACTAAACTTGCCTTGAGAGAAATGTGATTTGAGAGCATTGCTTAGTCCTTCTGTGCATCAGCTACTGTGTTGAAAAGGAACCAATAGCTATACCTCCCTAATGGCTTTCTATTAAACTTCTATACTGTGTTTGCCAGTTCCCTAAAAGTAAGTCCACTAATATCAATTTTTCTGGAATTTCAGTAATTGGTTTTGAGGGTTTGTCCTGGTTTCAATAAGGACTTCATATTTTGAAAAAGATTTGACTGAATTTAAATGGTATGATTTTGAGGAAACATTATGTTACCTAGGTCCTGCCTCCAATCACTGAATATAGCATATACTTTTAACAATCTTGTTTGTAAGATTGGATATGCTATGTATTTACATAATTGATAGCATTTTATATATAATTTTAAAACGTGCCATCTGCATGCAGATATATAGAGGCAGATAATGAAAA